CCAACCTTTTTACAGCTTCTTCAACCTTCAAGATGGGCTCTGCTTCTGCCACAATGTGACCAGTCTGTTCAAGGCAATTGGAATCGCCTGTAACCAGAACGAGTGACGCCTCTTCATTGACAGCTCATCCAGGAGCCTCAAAGCCATGCTGCTTCATAATGGTAACAAGTATCCATCTCTTCCCCTGGCTCACTCGGTGCACCTCAAAGAGGATTACAACAGCATCAAGATTTTGCTGAACGCCTTGAAGTATGATGAGTATGGCTGGGAGGTCATCGGAGACTTCAAAATTGTGGAATTCCTGAAGGGTCTCCAAGGCAGTTTTACCAAGTTTCCCTGCTATCTTTGCCTTTGGGACAGCTGAGACACCATGGCGCACTACCACAGGCGGGACTGGCCACAGCGGACCGAATTCTCTGTTGGGAGAAATAACGTCAAGTGGGAGCCACTGGTGGACCCTCGCAAGGTGCTGATGCCACCGCTGCACATCAAATTGGGCCTTATTAACATTTGTCAGAGCTGTAGATAAGGAGTCGGCAGCCTTCAAGTACCTTCAAGACTTATTCCCTAAGCTGTCTGAGGCAAAGGTCAAAGCCGGTGTCTTCGTCGGACCACAGGTAAAGAAGATCCTGGAGTGCAATGAATTCCCCAAGAAGCTCACGAGTAAGAAGAAAGTGGCTTGGGACAGCTTTGCCGCAGTGGTTCGTGGCTTCCTGGGTAATCACAAGGTCGAAAACTATGTGGAGCAGGTTGAGACTGGTGAAGAACTACGGCACAATGGGCTGTAGGATGTCCCTCAAAGTCCATATCCTTGATGCTCATCTTGATAAATTCAAGGAGAACATGGGAGCGTACTCGGAGCAGCAAGGCGAGCGCTTCCACCAGGATATATTAGACTTTGAACGCCGCAATAAAGGACAGTATAACGAGAACATGATGGGAGACTACATTTGGGGGCTGATTCGTGAAAGTGACTTACAGAATAATCATAAATCTCGAACAACTATTCTGACTTATGTGAACGAAAAGACGCAAATTTCCCCCCTTTTTTCTCATTGAAAATAGGTCAATTAAAAAATATCACTGTCCTGGTCTCAAAAGCAGAGTTTGTGGGGAATAATAGCCATTTTCTATACTTTTTAGGCAATAGCAATTACGAAATAACACTTACTACCCAGGAAAAAAAATTGTGTTACATAGTGAATTATCACGGTTGTCTCAGTTTGGCGAAGGGGTAAAGCGTTTGAATTATCGAACGAATGTCTTGGCCCGTTTTGATCCTTTGCAGAAAATCGTAAAACGTAGAGTGCTCGTGTGGTTGTGAAGTTCTGAAAATTAGTTTTGGGCTTGCACATGATGTAAATGTTTCATAAAAAAAACAGGCATGCAACGTACAGCAAACTCCAAGAATATTGATGAGCTTTGAAAAGGCTGAATGTCTCTCCTCATTGTCAATTTGTTCAAAAGCAACCCTTCTGACTATCATTGTGGGCAATAAAAAAACAACAAACATTTGCTGAAGGCGAGTGAAGATGTGCTTTGTAGTAGATACAGTTTAGTAAGTTTTGAAAATATGTCTTCGCAGAGATATGCTTGTTTGAAAAGTGAGAGTTAAAGGGCTCAAGGGAGCAGCACTTTACTTTGATTGAATTCCTCGCTCTTGAAAGCCAAATAAGATTGCATTTTAAGAATGGGTTAAAGGCTATAGATTGTAGCCGTCGCCATGTTGGGATTGTACATGTAGAATGCTGCAGAACAGGAGTGAGTTCCTGGCCGGAACTGTGGGCCATTGTTTAAGAAAAAAAACATTGGGGAAAAGGTACCAGAGGCATAATGAAACACTCCAGGGTGTTTTCTGAAATGTTTCCATTTGTATGCATGTGCTTTCAAATTCAGTGCGAGGAATCGAGTTGCCCATAGGGAGCTCCACATTGTAGAATGCCCTGGGGTGTAAATGTATAGTGTTTGCCATTCACTCTGTGTGTGTTTGTGTGGTCTTCATAGGTGCAACACTTGCCCCAACAGTCTGTTTAGCCTTTACTGGGATCTATGTCTTTATATGTGTGAAAGTGGGGGAGCGGTGATGTAGCGATTAGCACGCTGCGCTACGAACCCGGTGAACCCAACACTATGATTATCTAAACCGGTCCTGGGCCTCCCCTAGATCGACTCAGCCTCAAATGAGTACCTGGTGCAGCGTTTAAAGATTGCCACTGGGTAGACAAAAGTCGTTGGGCATGGTGCTGGCCACCCACCCCCTTGTGTACTGTGCAGGCCTTCATAGGTGCCCAAACAACACTTGCCTCAAGTCTGTTTAGGTTATAGGGGGGATCTTTGTGTGTGAGAGTGGGGAGCGGTTGTGTAGTGGCTAGCATACTGTGCTACGAACCCGGTGAACCAAATGGATTCCTGCTTTTGACCAATAATAACGGCGAATATTTGAACCGGTCCTGGGCCTCCGCTAGGTACACTCGGCCTTAAATTAATTCCTGGTACTGTTTATAAACAGCACTGGGGAGGCATCCTAACCCCCACGTGTGCCATTGCCACCCTTCCTAGGTGCTTGCTAACAGCACTTGCACCAACGGTCTGTTAAATGCCACACGGGCGGATCTTTGTGTCAAGAGTGTGTGCACGTATAGCTACGTAACACTGAGACGTGCAAACATCTCACGGTGTTGTGCAAATACATTACGCGAGGTTTCACCCAGCGGTACAAATATATTGTTTTGTTTAATGACAAAATGTCATACATTGCAACGGTCTAAATATCAGGTCGGGATTTCGCCCTATAATTGTCCACAGAACTCCAGACCTTTTCGGGAAACGTGTAGAGAGCAGAGTGCCTCAATGAGTCACCATTGCAACATCGCAGGCCGCTGCGGTAGCAGTGTAGAACACACGCTTGCGGGGAGAAACTAAAATTGGGTGCACTGGCAGCCAACTCTTATTTTATCATTCCCACGGGTAGCGCCAGGAAGCCAAAATGGGGTTGGGGATGTTCTCACGTTGAAAAAAAAAAACACCGTGTCGTAAAAAAAAACCCGGGACGAGAAACTGAGAGAGGGGGACCGAAATCTAGCAGCACGCGTGTGCCATACGCACACCGCATTGCTCAAGCAGAATTAAAATTCTGCTCTTGTTGTTGCGCTTACGAAAACGGCGTGTTTGCCATGGTGTGTGCCAGCATTGTTCAGGCGCAGGCACAAGAAATAACAACAAGCGGGCGCGTACACTTGGCTGGAGTTCCTTGTCGCTGGCAACGCGGCGAGATGTCATTGTGCGCTCGCCGTTAAAACGATTGATCTCTGCGCCTGTCAGACCACTCATTAAATTCCCTCGGCAATGAAATCAGTTCGAATTGGGATTGTCAATACAAATCGATGCTACAAAAGTAGGTGGGGCGGGTGAGGTCAAAGTAATAATGTAATGGCAAATCTGGGAATGGCCTTATAAATGTATCTCATTGAATTTCATACCATTCTTAATTTACACTTATATTACATATACAGCTCTGCAGAAAATTATTAACAGCCTCGAACAGCTTTGATACAATTTATTCGGCAAATTAGATTTTTGAAGACTGGGAAGTGTCCGTGCACTTGTGTGCATGTGTATGTATGCATGTGTATGTATGCATGTGTGGGGAGCAGTGGCGTAGCAGTTCGCGCGCTGCGCTACAAACCCGGCCACCCGAGTTCGATTCCCGCTCACGGCCAACACCAGTGACTATTATCTGAATAGGTCATGGACCTCCCCTAGGCTGATTCGGTTTTAAATGAGTACCTGGTGCGGTGTGCAAACATCGCCACTGGGGAGACAAAGGCAGCCGGGCGTGATGCTGACCACCCGCCCCCTCGTGTGCCGTGCCGGCCTTCATAGGTGCTCGCTAACAGCAGTACTTGCCCAACAGTCTGTTCAGGCTATGCGGGGGATCTTCTGTGTGTGCGTGCATGCGTGCGTCGCAGGGCATGTTTATCCCCGCGGGTACTGGGCACTGCTGCTGCCGCTGGCGCACAGAGCAGGTGGGGTTGAATTGGCGCCACAATTCATGCTCCCGTTGCTTGGCTACCGTGATTAGCTCACGAGAAGCCAGCAACAATTACTGGCCTATCGGCTAGCCTGCCCGCGTGCGATAATGAGTAATCTGCCATTATGAGGACGGCTGTGATGAGCTCTAATTTCTTGGGTGATATCTAATATACTCTTGAGTGTCCCTTTCGGTGCTGTGCATGTAGATATGTGTACAAGGGAGTGTTGGTTATTGAGTGAATGAGTGTACTGCACTGATCCTGACAGCCGAGCTTGAGTTATTTTTTGTATTGTTATGATTAATCTGAGTACTGATCTGAAAGCCCAAAAGCGGGCAGCAACACACACCACTATTAAATGTGTGGACAAGAGTTAAATACATTTATAAAAAATGAGCAAGATTGTAAGAACATAAAAAAATAGACGATGGGGCGGGGGAATTCCAAAGCCGAGCAGTGCGAGAAACAACACAAAGTGTTGTGACCTGTAGTGTGTTTTTGCAGTCGTGTGGATTATAACAAAATGTAAACCTGGTGATACTGCGTTGGCAGCGGTACACACGCACAAACAACCAAAACTCAATGCATTCGTCAATAACACTGCGCTAAAAAGAAAAAAATGTCTTTTATAAAGAAGGGCCCTTGCCCGAAACGTCGCCTGTTATGTAATATTTATAGGCCCGTGTTTTTCACAAAAGTATTGAGAATTTTGTTTTCAACTTATGGCCACGATGCACGTCGTCAGTCGCGGAAATTGTAATTTTAACCTCGTCTGTCCCACTTCACGGTCGACTCAGCTTAAAATGAGTACCTGGTACCGCTGTGCAAACATGGGCGCTGCGGAGACAAACACAGAGCGGCTGTGGCAGCGCCAGCTTTTTCGCGATACTCCGACCCGTCCGGGGCGTTGTGCAAACACCGGCATTTGATTTGACCGATAAAAAAAATGTGCCTCTGTGTTTTGTCTAGACTGAAACCCTGCAGTTGGAAAAGGAGGGGGTCTTGAACAGGGTGCTGGAGGGCAACGCTCAACTTGTTAAACTCCACGACAAAGTCAAGGTGAGGTCGGGTCCTTAAAAGATACCCCCACTCTCCACCTCTATGCAAGTTACAGTAATTTTGAGAACAAGACACTGAAAGTAAAAGGTCACACTCTCGCCCAGTATTGAGCGAATATTTACAGGTAGGAACAACAGTTCCACACTGCCCACCAGGGATTATTTGTCTGTCATGCATAGCCCCTCCCAAACATGAAGTACGCTCCCGGATTGGTTGAAGTGCGTCACGTGACCACGAGCTTTCTGTCGTGCACGAATGCGCTGTCCAACCAAGTTCCTACCTGCCCACTCCGAAGGAACGTGTTAAGCCTACTCTTTTGCGCGTCAATCTTGTAATATTTTTTTGTCTTGTGAGTCATAACGCCGATGACCAAATCACCTGCAATGTGCCCTGTTTCAGAAGCTGCTAGGTTGAGTCAAGATGGTGCTTGGCTTGTTGTGGGGCTTACGGGGACTCAATAGTGGGAATATAGGAGCAGTGCGGCAAAATCCATTGTTGTATTGTATTCTTAGGTTTTTTTTATCGGTTAAATCAGCTTCAAATCTAGAATGTTGTATTGTACTTATATGCTTCCACAGCTATGCTCCTCACCTTCACCAATCCCGCACTGACCAGCATGGTAAATTCGGATGAAATATCCCTCCATAACCCACACAACATGCGGAGTCTTTCATGCACCAGTGGATTAAGAACATTTCTTGTACGTGTACAAATTTATAGGGACTCCGTGCCGAAATGAACGATGGGGCAACACTCGTCTCTGAGCCAGAGGTTAAAATTCCATATTCCCATCGGCGGGGCCAGTCTCTCAATAGGATGATCGCTGTTGTCTCGTAACAATGTGGTTCTCTTATTTTATCAACCCCTAGCGGGTTCATTATACACTTAAATTTACAGGCTGATGCATTTAAAATCAAACAAATCCAATTGTGGCCCTGTTCTGACTTTTAATGTCATGTTTTTGGCTATCCTCTCACCTGGTGTTAACACAGGACACTTTAAAAAATAACCCAGGGCTTTGCAACGTTACCACACACGACCTGCCAATCGAATAACTGCGCACTGGCCGTTTATACTGCTGGGTGTACCCATTAATGCTGGTAGGAACCTCCTGGTTACACCAGCCCACAGGGGATTATTGTGTCCGTCGTGCAGGGAGGGGCTGGGTGGGGAGGGGAGGGTGGAGAGGGGCTGGGCTGGGTGTGAAGGGTGGGGCTTGGTGGGGCTGGGTGGGGAGGGTGGGGAGGGGCTGGGTGGGGAGGGGCTGGTCACCCCGTGGTGCCCTTATAAAACTCAACGTTTAACCTACTCACGCCGGCTTGTGCCCGCCCTCACAGTCGGGCATATTTGCGGAACACACCACGCCGCCGTTGACCCTGGCCATTGACCGAGCAACCCAACGTTCCTACCAGCTCCCTCCGCAGGAATGTGTTACCGACCAATTTTGGATCGCAATCCCAGCGCAGCATTCCATCTTGTTTAATGGGGCCCACTGGCGAATATGGTTGAAAGATCCTCGCATTCGGTCACAGTGACATGCGCTGTATGGCAGGAGCTGCTTGCCTCTGGTTAATGGACATGGCATCCTTTCTTCCATGGTAAAGTATGCGTTACGTGAAGTCATACGGACACTAAGAGTCATTTGTTTTTGCAGTCCACGATTATTCTTTATTCATGACCTCTTTTTTTATTGACTGATACGAAGCAGGGCTGTGACAGGCATATCGTTTTTTTTTTCACTCTATGTACAGCTTTATTTAAAAAAATAACAATGATGTTTTTTTAATGAGCAGCTGTAATTGAGCTGTTTATCTGAACACGTTCGGCAGTTGTGCAAATGGTATCCAGTCATCAAGCGGGAATAGAAATATGTTTTATCAGTTCTGGGACTCGCGTTATTGGTTTTGTATCAATAATTTCCATTCTGTGATATTTCTTATAAATTCACACATCGCACCCATTGGCAATATCGATCACACAACACACCACATCTTGTACCCACAGTGCGATGAACAATTGTCTCAAGCTTTTAATTACTTCGATCCTTGGCAGTTCAGATTAAAAGCGGGTCACAGAGCAAATTTGATTGGCCCGGCAATAAAATATCCCTGGAAAAAAATAAATTTTCAACGTTAGCGTGCGAAGCATTTAAGGGTAGCGGAATCCAGGGTGGAGTACGCGTTCAAGAGCAACATTCTCACCAAAACGATGCCCATGTTTGTTGTAAAACGAGACTTAAGGATGAAAGCAAACAGCCTTTGCAAGCTCTAAGGCATTGCCCCAAGGCCAGAAATGGACCTGGATATACATTATGTACACCGTTTACCATCGACTCATCATGATGAGAAACCCATTGTTATAATAACGTTCGTTTCAACATCATCTCTCAGTTTTGATCGCCCCTTATCTTTTGTTAATGCGTGTAGAATCATTGTCAGTGGAAAACACGGCCATCGTTTTTTTTAATCAAAAGTCACTGATACTGTCATAATAGTTGTACTTGCAGACTGTTAAATTGTAGTGGAAACTCATCATCTTGAAGAACAGACAGGTGTATGCAAATTTTCAAACATGACACTCAATTGTGCATCATCCCCGCGGAATTAAGTGCTGCGTTGGAACCACAGTACTGCCCTCTACATCAAAATCGTATCTTCTTTTCACTACCTTTTATTGCTTTGGTTTAGACTTGCGTTGCTGACGTTTGCGAGTTTCCCCTGCAAGTTGTGATGGTCAGCCCAAGCCAGAGGTCGCAAACGGGTTTTGATTGCTTACCCGTACCCGTACCCGGCCGCACCAGGGTCGAAAACGGGTACCTGTACCCTACCCGATACCCGGCTACCCGTACCCGGCCGGGTATCGGGTACGGTACGGGTACCCGATTGCGACCTCTGGGATGAAGCCATGTTGCAGGCGCGGGTGGGTTGATTCTAGGAACTTGAATTGTGAGAAGAGACAAGACGTTGGGAAATGAGTGACAAACGGTTACTCACCAGTGACTCATGGCCTACCCGTACCCGGCCGCACCAGGGTCGCAAACGGGTACCCGTACCCGGCCGGGTACGGGTAGCCGGGTATCGGGTAGGGTACGGGTATCGGGTACCCGGTTGCGACCTCTGACCTAAGCCAAGCCTGCGGCGCCGTTACGGAGTGGCGCACGTTGCGCAACGCTCCTGCCAGACACATCGACACAGCCCGTACAGGAGGCCCACGGTCAGCGTGGCTGGCATGAGGTTGATGAGCAGCACCCCGAGCGCCACACGTTCCATCACGAGCATGTAGATTCCCACGGGCAGAGAGCTGAAGTAGGCAAAGCCCAGCAGCCAGAGCAGCAGGCGGGGCGCCCTGCCACACAGCCCCCTCCGCGACGTGGAACTGCCGTGCGAGAACGTCGAGTCGTGGCTCTGCGGCCGGCCGGAGTTTGCCATCGTCCCGCTCGGCGAGCCTGCTCCTGCCACGGAGTCGCCGGTGAAGTTCTGGCGCGCTGCCAGGTTCAGGGCCAACCCCGTGCCTCGGCTCTGACCATAGGTGAACACCTGACTTTGGTCTAAGCCTATTCCCACGCCCGTGTGCTGAATCTGGCCGAGTTCCGAAAGGTGGTCGTGGTTGCGAGCCATCGCCCAGTTAAGGTCGAGGCTCGACTGCCCGGTTGTGGCCGAGCGCTGCGTTGGGGAGGCGTCCCGCGAGGTGGTCCCCGCTCGGCGCGTTGAGCGCGAGGCAGTCGACCGACACGCACAGCGCCAGCGAGGAAGTCTTGAGGCGCAGCGGGTTGAGCAGCATCTCGCCGCCGCCGTTGTGGCGCGCCGGTCGAACTGACGGCGGAGGAGGAGGCCTCCACCGAGCCACCATGCTGCCCACGAGTGCCTCGTCCTCGGGCAGAGCGGACACGTCGCGCGAGGGCGGCACCGCCGTGGGGCAGCGGCAGAACGGGCACTGGGATTTGGCGTGAGCCATCGCTGCCACCGCTTCCGCCACTGCCGCCGCTTAGTATCCGGGAGAGACAGTGCGAGCACACGCCGTGGCCGCACGCCAAGAGTTTGGGGCGCCGCGCGCGCAGATCATACGCGTGGTAGCAGATCTTGCACTCGTACTCCTCTCCGCTGCTCCCGCTGCCGGCACTGCCTCTGCCAACCGACCGGATACTGCCCCGGGCCTGGGTCCAGATCGCCATGTCGTTCGTCATTGCTGCTTGGGCACCGTATCTATTGCGCGGGGTCCGGGAGAACACACAAAGGACTTTAGGTGGAGCGTGAACAGAATGTTGCCATCCACAGTAAGCCAACCAACCTGTAGCACCACCCGCCTTGGCTGCAGAATGACTGAATTTATTTTTGCCAAAGATCTTTTGACAATTAAGTAACTGGATTGAAATTGGAAGGCATTGCTGCTTTACGCAAATGGAGTTAACGGTTGAACATAACGGTGGAGAATTTCCCCGCAGACCGATGAGTCACTCAGCCATCACTTGCATGACATTTTGGCCCATTAAAGAGTTAAACATCGTAGCTTGCTGTAAGCGGTCAACGCTTGTGAATAAGCCGCGAAAAAAACATACCAAAAGGGAAGGGCGTGTGGGAATTGTGCACTTTCTCTCTAGATTCCCTGCCTTCCGCGAATAGACTGTGCCAGATGTCCCGGATACATGCGCTGATTAACGGTGGCTTTTTGAGAGTTGGATGTGGGAAATGGTATTTTGTGTTATCTCCCCTACTCCACGGGATTTCTTTGTGATGCAAGCCCCTATCACACCTCCTGGACATCAAAGGATAAACGTGTATCGTGAGATGCAAAGGCCCTCTTTGACCAGCAGTAGGGTGCAGTTGTTTATTTATTTTCACGGTCGATCCTTAAAATTGACTGTGCCAAGAATAGAAGATGTTTAACAGCCAGGGTGCTGTAGCCTTCTCTCGTGGGTGTAAATTGTGAGCGCTGCACTCGATTGTGCCCCGACAAGAGATTGGCAACTGGGAGTAGGTGGTATTTCATATTGTTGCTTGTGTGCTCGCAGCCGTTCCAATGATTTGTATTGTTTGCTTGCACTTGTTTTGAAATAATCTCCGAGGAATGGTGCTGCCATTCTTCAAACTGATGCTTGGAATCATTAAGCGTGCTTCTCCTGTCGGGGACTGATCAATTGGTAAACGCAATCAGATATCGGCCAAGCCGGTATTACAGCTGCTTACAAACGGCGTAAAAGGGTTGTGAACAGAAACGTTTCTAAGACTGCGTAGATGTTTTGCGGTTGTGCTGATGTGTTTCAAGGTGAAACATCCAATGTCAAGACAACAATGGTCCGATGTCAAACGACAATAATTTTTTCTACGAAAAACAAGCGGCGCATAATCGGCCATTAAGTTATATTTTCTAATGCAGAAAACTAAAATTGCGGCAATTATTTACCTTATCGTTGTGAGGGTCGGGCAAATCTACGGCCCATGGGCTTGCGGCCCACATAAGGCTTGCACCATTTCAAAAAACAGAATGCAACAGTTATCCATCACTGCAAGCATTTTAGCCACACTAATCGGTAAATAGAGAAGAATCTTTTCCTATTTTGTTTGTGCTCAGTCATTTCTGTCAGAAGTGACCAAGGGCTGTGTGTGTGTCAACGTGTGGCCTGCTATAAAGGTCTTGTTCGGCCCTTGGCAAGGAAAACGTTCTCCTAACCCCCTGCCCTCAGGGTTCTGGAGTGGAGTCGCCACTAAATCCAGGTTGTATTGAGTCGACGGTTCCATTCTGCCAGCCGTATGTTGTGAATAAACTTCCGCGCCCTTTAATTCTCGAGAATAATTGATTTCAATTCGTGAACTATTACGCCTTGTTTTTTTACGGAACCCTTTATGAGGAACAGTACACTTAACTTAGTGGCAATGGAGACATTTTATTTTACAAGTGTCGAGAAGACTAAGCTCTTGCCATTTAATTAACGTTCGCTAATTTTGGCGAGGAGTTGCTACGGCAACAGTGAAGCAATGTCGGGCATAATAAGCAATTTAGTATGCACCATCACCGATTTAATTATATTTTAATTAGGACGATATTATCTCGGATGAATCGTACAGATATACATGCATTGCTACAGATGTTCGCAATGCAATCTCAGAATGGCTGGGCCAGCAAAACACAAGGGGCGGTCAGGCTTAAGCTGAGCTCATTATATCTCAAAATGACGAGACCCCCCCCCCCCCCCCAGGTGACTTTTCTTTCCCCTCTGCTCACTTGACGAGACGCCTGGCAACGGGTGCCACGTGTGTTGCTAACGTGTGTCACCCATGGGGGGAGACAGAATGGAACACCAAAATAATGTATGTTTTGTTTTTGGTGCTGGGTGATTATGGAAATATGTGCAGCTAGTTGATGGTCTCAGGCCTGTCACCGATGACTGTACGACAAAAAAAAATCAAATTTGGTTTTATACTTAAATGCATCTTATTCCAGCTCTGAGACGTAATTGTCAGTTTCATTGCAATGAGATGAAAAAAAATCACTTGTAGAGCCGTTCAAAGTTGTGCGAAAGGGAACTATTGGAGTGACTAACTATAATTGTATTTGTTATGCTTGTTTACCCAGAAAAACCTCACTGAGTCTCAAAGATAATTTTCAGGAGGGTCCTGCCAAGTTTTGCAGCAGGGGACAATGTTTGCCCTGTGTAATTGTAATTGAGTAATTTTCAAGTAATTTTTCAGCATTGCGATGTTTTGCCAATACCTGTTTAATAGCTTTGGGAGGAAACACATGAACCCAGAGGAAACCCATGCTGAACAGGGGGAGAACATATAAACACTACATAGAAAAGTGCCCGAGTTGGAAATCGAACTCAAACCCTTCTTGCTTTGAGGCACGAGTGTTCCCACTGTGATGTCTTCTGGGGCTGTTTTCTGGTCCAGAGTGATGACCTACTTGTCGGAAATGTATTTGTCTCATGCTATGACACTGATGGCTGGAGAAAGAAGAGAAAAACATTCGAAAAAACGTGCATGCATGAGCAGAAAATACTATTTTTAAACCCGATCATATTAACCTTGGCTTTACAATGGATTTGGCTTAAATTTCGGCTCTGAGAATTAAAACAAATATTAATTGGCCTGAAAATGTGTGAATAATCTCATGAAGGCTAAATGGTTCACCTTAAGGACTTGTCGGGATAAGTCCTTGAAAGAAATCTCTCTAATACACAAGGTTGCACTGCTCTGAGAAATTTCCGATATGGTTTCTTCATCTCTTAACGTGATGATAAAAGCACAGTTGCAGTTGGGAGTGGGGGGTGGCGCGGAATGACTCAACAGTGGTTTAATTCCATTAATTACTGCAAATAACAGGTGTCTACCCTGAGCTATATTTTTCGTTGGGGTTTCAAAGGGAAAAAAGGGCAGGGAAAAACGTCAGTTCGGTGAGCGTGTTCGTAGATTTCACCGTCAGATTCTAGCAGCAAATGATGTCTTTATCAAGAAGTCATTGCGGTGAATGTCGTCCATTTTACTACGGCTCACCGTCTCTTCATTCTGTCTGTTGGGTCCTGCAGTTCTTGCGTCATCGACATCTGACCTTCATCAATACCTTTATGCTTGTACCTTGATCGATGACCTCTGGGTGCCACTCAGCTTTCTGTCTCAATCACTTGTCCTCCCCCATCCTGCACACGTGCCCTACGCATTGAACCGCTTTCTTTTTGATGTAAGTAACTGTTAAGAAATAGTGGTGTGTTAATAACAATGATAGTAATAGTTTACAGCGATCCACTGCTGTATGAAGGCCTTGCCAGGACATGTCAGCCATGGGGGGGTTGTTTGGCCTAGTTCGCTACACCGGTCAGTGCTTGTTGCATCCCACTGGGATTTTTGCACAGCGTTGGCGTACGGTGCAATTTTTTCTTTCTGGAAGACTTTGCAGTTTTTTCCTGGATTTTTCTGTTTGCGCATAGTCACTTTAAGATGTTGCACCCGATTCAAGAACCGAATGGCTCACAGGGCTATACCAAATAAATGAAACTGAAGTGCCCAGGACTCTCTCGGATATCACTCGCCACTAATGTTAGCCATGGCTGGGAATTGAACGTAGATCACTGGATTCATAGTGCAGCCACCGCTCCACTGGCGATAACAATAATAATTGAGTTTCATTGACTGTTGCTTTCCATATAATGCCAGGGATTAGCTGAATTGTAATCTGATTTATTCCTTCCAAATTCCCAAAGTTGCTTGTGACTGATATCATTAATGCAAATGCGTTGGTGCTCAGTCGCTGTTTAATTAGCTTCCTCACCCGAACCTGGGGAAAACGACATGAAAACCCTTTTCTGCATCACCGTGCCTGTGCCTCACAAAAGCGCCTATCTCCAAGCGTCGTGCGATACGGCCGTGCCGAGGTTTACATTTAATTAACCAGGAGTGTGATTGTTTATAATAGCAAAATAAAATAACACATTTTTTTGTCGTGGTGAAAAAAATTGACAGTGTGATAACAACATCGTTTAGAAATTAGCACAGTTTCTGTGAAACTGGCAACAGTCGATTGAAAATGTAATCCTCGTGTTTGTAATGGAATGGAGGGGTAGCAGCCCTGAAGGTGAGGACCAGGTATTTTTTTGTCTCAATAAGAAAAGAATCTGTGAAGCGGTGGCGCAGTGGTTATTGCTCTGCACTGTGAACCTGGCCAACCTGACTTCGTTTCCCGGTCACAGCTAACATCAGCAGCGAGCAATATCCAAACTGGTTGTTGGGAACCCCCTTCACTAACCAGCACTGACTAACTTGGTTGAAATATGGTCAAACTAGCACGGTAAATTATGACCGTCAGGACCTGGGAAGGTGTTTGGCCGTGGAATGGCAAAGGGCTGTATATGATTTATATTAATTATACAAGAAGAACTGTTAATCCTGATGTGTACCAAACAGCTTTCATAATTCATATGGCTTCTGCAGTAGACAGAACATATTGCAACCACCTCACCGTGCTTGTGTACAACATTTTCCCTGTTAAAAAAGTAATAGATAATCTACAGACCTTTGTTAATCCACTACTGACCAGCCCATGTCATAACCATACATCACTACTTTGGGGCAGCTTGTTGAAGAGGTTCACGGTTTGAATCCAGTGGCCACCCTGATTAATACTGTGGGTGTATTTAGTTTATTGTCCTCCCTCGGCACCTCCGATTATCACGGTTGGCTACGTACGGTGCGAAAGATAAAATATACTACACGCCATCTACTTCACAATGGCTGTTAAGAATCCTGCAACGTCATTCCCAAGAATGAACTATAAAACTAAACTATTTTTTATTTTACCAGGTAAGACCCACTGAGCTATTTTGCTCTTTTTCAGAAGCGATCTGGCCACACATGATATCTCAGCGAAGTGGCTTATAATGTAGAAATGTATAGCAGCCAAACACTCTAAACATACGTTGATTCAAAATGGGGAGGGAAAAGCCAGAGGACCCGGAGAAAAATCCACGCAAGCACGGGGAGAACATGCAAACTCCGAATATACAGGCATCAAGGTCAGGAAGCGAACCCAAGACTTCTTGCATAACATCTCGCCACCACGGCCATTGTATGCCAGCATCATGGTCCAAATGTGCAAAATTACCTGCAAATTACTCACTTTGAAGCTACAAAACCTTGGAAGGACCCTCCTGGAAAAGATTCATGAGATACATTGAGACTTTCCTGGGTAAGCAAGCGTAGTAGTAGTAATGATAATAACATTGACCATTGCTGGTTGGTGAAGGTGGGGCTCAGGACATATTCACATATCAATCTCCACACTCCATGGCCAATAATAGAACTCAGGCCACCAGGTTATGGATAAATATTTGCATGCGTGTCTACTAATGAGGGTCATGTTATTTTCCCAACACTACATGCTCTTATGTACATTGTGTTTCTGCCCTCAGAGCGTAATCTCGCAATCTGGAGAGGCAGAAAATAACTATGCTAACAAATAGGTTTAGAGAATAATTCAATATTTATAAATGCATGCATTGTTCATCAGTGATGCTATCGCTAATGCGATGCGGCAGGTCATTGGTGCGAATGGCTGGCCTGGGACTCAAGGTCCTCCTCTAAATGTGTGCATTCAAAGCCACCGAATTTGCAAATATTGGCAACGCGAATTCCGTTACTTGATATAACATATGGTTATTGGCAGGCCTATCACCATTCACCCAGAATGCACCAGATCCTTCCAGATCTTAGAAGCTAGGCTGAGTTGAGCTTGGATAGTGCTTGCATGGGTGACTACCATATACAAGCAGGTGGTATAGGCTGACATGGGGCTATGTTGTGGACAGCAGAGGGCAGTGCAGCGAAATCATTTTTTTGTACTGGACTGATATACTATGACGTCTACACGGGTCCACCATCCTGAGCTAACCAGCGTGGTAAAGTATGGTTAAACAAAATATCCCCCATGACCCACATGACATGGGGAGACCCCTTATCCAGCAGTAAAGTGACAGAATGGCTGTGCGTGTAAGCAGCAGACTGCCTGAATCAATCGGCAAAGAGGATACACTTCCTGCCGTCTGACCTTTCGTCCTTTTCATAGCTGTTGTTGGGCTTGTTCTACTTCCTTCGTTTGTGTGGCATTAGCACGACAGCCTGCCGCGCACAATGCCGTGGCTTGTCGGGTGGCATGTAATACGCGTGAGATTAGATTTTACAAACATTCAGCAAGAAAAAAAAAACCCACAAGAATCCCCTGTTCCTGTTAGCCTTCTGTGGGCTGACCTAACAAATTAAGTATACTTCTCACACACATCCACGGATATTGCTTAGGCTCCCTTCAAGATTATTTGCCGTTGTTTTATATCGGTCTATAGCCGTGAACCTTGGGTGGTGAGGTGGCGCGTTGGTGGCTGCAGTTCGAAACCCAAGCATTATTAAGGGTTCGTGCTCAAAGCTCTGTACGAATAAATGTGAGAATCCGTTGCTGTACTGTACCGTCACCTTATGACCACATCGCAGCCTTAGACCTACAACAACTGGTATGCCCTTGTATTCTGCCATACACGTACCATGGTTTTACCCGCTTAGCTTTCAAGGTACGACGTGTTCGGGTACATTTGGAGTTATTTCGTAATGGGCTTTCGTTACGCCGTCTTTAAATCTATCTAAAAAATGAATTGGCCGAAGATCCCATTGCAGGGCCTTCTTGGATCCCAAGAAAATTGTCTGATGACTCGGTGAGGATTTCCTAAAATAAGAAAATAAATTGCCCAAGGGAAAAAATTATATCAAAACCAAACCCAACCCTCTTTTCTCCCCCACCAACACCACCATCATCATCATCAGCCATGATCAATCTACTGCTGAATGACAGCCTCCCCTAGCCATCACCATCTCTCATTGTCAGCACAAAATCCGATTTCATACCTCCATGTCCACAGTCGATGTCCTCTTGAGTATGTTTTCCTCCTTTGGCTGCCACTTCATCATTTGTCTCGACCACTGGCCATCACGCCTCGTCACGACATGTCTTGCCCCAAGCCCTTTCTTAACGGTCAATGAAATGTCTCTAGCTTGTGTTATCAATCACGTGTTCCTCTTCACGTCTCTCGTTGTAATTCCAAGCACGTACCTCTTAATGCTTCTTTGTGCAGTTTCGAGCTTTTGTTCCCATTCTCTTGTGTCGATGTCAATGTCTCTGGTCCATGTGCCATAGCAGTGAATATACGGCAATTATAAAAGCTTTTTTTGTTTCTTACGGGCACATTTGCGCGATGCTACTGCCTGTCTTGCAATGCGTCCAGGTGGTTCAGCGGCAGCGCAAGCGGCTCGTAATATGAAGGTTTGCGAGTTCAAATTCTGGTTGGATGTTGACTCAGCTCATTCGTCGCTTCGGGGTCGATGAAATGAGTACGACTTTATGGGGAAGTCAACAGCGGCTGATCTTGTGGATCAACTCGCCATTGCCATGAGAATGGGGGTATCTTCACCACTGACACAGGGATGTAAATAAGAAAAATGAACACCACCTCACACTGTTCATTTGAGCCCGGAAAAAAATCACAATCTCATTTTGACTTTTGTCCATGATCCCGTAAGGTGTACAGGGCGCGTGCGGCACGGGCCATTGCGGAGGTCGCAGGCCGCTCGCAGGACGCGCAGGCCGGCTGGGCGGGCCGCAGTGAACGCTACGACGGAGAGATCCGCCACCTGCGCCAGATGCTGAGCGACAAGCAGGGCGCCGTCGAGACTTTGGCCGGGGAGAAGAGGTACGCGGTTGAGCGTTTGTGCTTGGGGCAGCTGAGACAGTAGGTAATATGATATGTCTCTTCTTGGTTCTTTTGGTAAAGTCACGTAGAAGGGAAATAATAGAATGATAAAAATAAAACAATAAAATTATTCTCACGACGTTTCGGCCACAACGCAAGCAGCCGTCCTCAGGTGAAGAACAGGTCTGTCGGAAAGACAGCGTCTGACAGACCTGTTCTTCACCTGAGGACGGCTGCTTGCGTTGTGAGAATTATTTTATTATGTTTTATTTTTATTATTTTATTATTTCCATTCTACGTGACTTTACCGAAAGAACCAAGAAGATGAATCCCTGCAGTCACGAAGGCTTTTAATCGAAATATAATATGTCTCCTTCATATTATCTCTGCATCTCCAAATATTGAAAAAAATCAAGTGTCGTTTATACAGTGATACCCTGATTTACGTTTCCACCCTATTACGTCATTTCGCAATTACGTCATCACTTTATTAATACCTCTACCTGATTTGTGTTACCTCAACCCACACTTACGTTGCTGACAGCATTATCCGTCCATTTTCGTATCCATTGCCTCTCAGCCTAACCCTCCACCTACCCTGTAAATGGCTTTGAAGTCGTTTCGATATTCGTCTTTGAACCTTTCAGGAACGCATCCCCGACGTAAACCGGGGAATTACTGTACAACCCATTGGCCCCATGGCCTTCTGGGAGTAAATTATTTCAGCAGCATTGATTTTGTACAAAGCAAATTTTTGACCGGTTTAGACATAATTCTTGTCAGTATGAAGACACATTACATTATCATAAAATCGAAATGATCCAGAAATTCTAAAATAGGTCTGTCTGTAACTGCCCTCAGAAATCTAAAATGTAAAATGGAAAAATTTGAGATTCATCCATATTATAGTGAAGATAAGATGAAGATGCTGAAGGGCCAGTCCTGGGCTCTTCCCCTATACTATCACTAACTGGCCAGTGTGGTGAAGTATGGTTTTACAAAACCCCCCGCTGACCTACACAGCATGGGGAGGCCTTTATCCAGCAGTGGATTGGAAAAAAGGGTTGTATATTATAATTTACAGACTAATTTCATTCAGCCTTCTGCTATTCTTCTTCCTCAATGGATAAGTGAAAGGTGCGGGCCTGCCATTTCCTGCTCACACACATGCTCACAGAAGGGTCTCCACTCAAGGCAGCTCTTAGGAGCCCCTCCAGGAGGTTTTGTGGCCAACTCTTTCACACACAGCCAAGAGGGCTTGGAAGAGGTCGGAGTGTCCACACGTTACTCCACAACACGCGACCTGGCGATTGGCTCACTGCCGTGTGCCCAATTATACTCAAACGAAACATTTTTTTTTTGTTACCAGATAAGGCCCACTGAGCTATATAGCTCTTGTTCAGAAGCGACCTGGTCACAAATGATAGCTTAAAGCAGTGGCTTATCATGTGGGGGAAAAACCGGAGGACCCGGAGAAAAATTCACGTGACCACGGGGAGAACATGCAAACTTCGAATGTACAGGCGTCAGGGTCGGGTTCAAACCCACGACCTCCTGCATACCAGGTGAGGTCGTTAGCATCTCAGCACCGTGGCACCCTTACTGCTGGCTGGATAGAGGTGTCATGGAGGGGGTTTAAGAAACTCAGGTCAGAGCACTGACCTCTGAATTCATCTTGTGTTTAAACAGCTGCCTGTGATAAAATCGGATACACAAGTGTCAGTGAGTTTATGGTATCAGCCTGGTCATTACTGAATGCATAAAAAACATCACTTTAGGGTTAGTTCTACACTTAACTTGGCTAACAATTTGGCTTTTAACAATAAAAAATATCCGTTTTACAGTTAGGTGGAAAACATAACATACTGTAGTAGTAGGTTTTTACCCTTTAAACTGGTACAAAACTGACACCTTTATACATGGCATCATGTTTGCAATAACCACAACGCAAGTAGGCAAAATGCAAACAAAAAGAAACAACTCTGATAATGATAATGATATGCACTGTCCTTGAAGTTGATTGGTCCACACCCGAGACAGCTTTCCTTAGAGCCTAGTCTCCATTGGTGTTGGACCAGATGACACCAAAAGGCATACAACTCAAAAACAGTGCACTATCAGAGTATTGAGAGCTCGGGGTAAGCATTTACATTTTGAGACCTCTTTTACCAGTGGCAAAATATAGTAGTAGGTTTTTACCCTTTAAACTGGTACAAAACTGTCAAAACGGACAGTTTTGACAGTTTTGTCACTGGTAAAGGAGGTCTCATAGTGTAAACATTACATACGTTAGCAGATTGGGTGGAAAATTTCTGTCCCCAACTGTGTGGACCAGGGGTTACTTAAACAGATCTTAGAGGCAGCTCTGTGATATCCACTTCCACGGGTCGTTCTATCACAGGAAGTGTTGCACTGCTCCGGGAGCGATCCAAATTGACCCCTCGGCTCGTGACATGACAATGGTAACACAATCGGGATAACATTTGGGGAAGGGAAATATATCATCTTTCCTGCCATCATTGCGTCTCTTCTATGATTGGAGCAGAATACAACGGAACATGAAAGTTTAATCTTCTTGGTTCTTTCGGTAAAGTCACGTAGAAGGGAAATAATAAAATAATTAAAATAACACATAATAAAATAATTCTCACGTTTCGGCCACAACGCAAGCAGCCGTCCTCAGGTGAAGAACAGGTCTGGTGGTGCCCATTCAGACGCTCTCTTCCCGACAAACCTGTTCTTCACCTGAGGATGGCTGCTTACGTTGTGGCCGAAACGTCGTGAGAATTATTTTATTATGTTTTATTTTTATTCTTTTATTATTTCCCTTCTGTGAACCAAGAAGATGAATCCCTGCAGTCACGAAAGCTTTAAATCGAAATGAAAGTTTAATGTTTGTGACTTTTGCATTTTGCCTTGAATGTAAAATCACTAACAGCAATTACACATTGATTTAAAGCTTTCGTGACTGCAGGGATTCATATTCTTGGTTCTTTCGGTAAAGTCACGTAGAAGGGAAATAATAAAATAATATTTATATAATATTAATATAAAACATTTTTATTGTATGGGAAATAATAAAATCATATTAATATACTATTAATATAAAAACTATTTTATTGTATTATTTCCCTTCTACGTGACTTTACCGAAAGAACCAAGAACATAGCAATTACACTATTAAAATTTACTTGTACAAAAGCAACATCACACCTAAATTACTGCATTAAGAAAAATTTTACCTGTAAGTGTCTGCAGCATTTTTAGCGCACCTCGTTTTTAAACCTGGCAAACTCAAATTGTATTCCTGGCCATTGCTAACATCAGAGGAGGGTTATATTTGAACCAGTCCTGGTACGTGACTCAATGTCATGGGCAACCCTTCATCCAGCAGTGGATAGACAAATACCTATACACTTGCAAAAAAAAACTTTACGGGTAGCCGAAATAATACATTGGAAATGTCTGTGACAAACAATGAAAGATGTAACCCAAAATTCTACATTTTTCTAATCTTTGGATACACAGCTAGTAATTGTCTGAACGTCCCAACATAGGACCCCCCTTAAAAATATTCTGGACATAGACTCAGTGAGGCTTTCCTGGATAAACAAATGACTTCATTACTATGATTATTAGATTACTGAATGCCTCCCTTGCTCACTTAAGCTACTTAACCGAGTCTCACGGTGCTGGCATCAGCAAAGTGCAGCCGATGAACATTTTATAACGTGGCGCTTATTGTTATAAGGTCGTGCTCATAACACACAAAGTGAACCACAATACATTGCTGATATTGTCAAGTAGCATTAACCATCACGTAAACTCCGGTCATCCTCGCAGCAGCTTTTGGCTAACCATCGAGCATAGACGACGTTGCACTGCATCGCGTGCTTTCAGATGCGCTTCTGCGGCCGTCTGGAACGCTCTTCCGATATTAGGATGCCACTGGAGCCTATGCGCTTTTGAATCTAAATTAAAGACTAATTTCTCGAGAACTGCTTTTCATGTTTCGTCTGTAGTCCTTCCCCCTCACCTCCGATGAGCATGGTTGGCTACGTACGGTGTGAAATAAGTTGAACATACATACATACGTTAATCAAACGATCGGTGCTTTATTTTGCACGAGTCTTTTGTTTTCGTCACTCCCCACGTCGACGCCACGTGATCCGTTTTGGCCAGATGGTCCCGATCGGTAATATTATGCTTCATTATATACTTGATATGTGAATGATATGTGAATTGGAGTTGTGGTGTATTGTGTGCGTGTCTGTTGTTTATTTTAATAAAGAACCTTTGTAGTTTCTAGACTTAGGCACAATTGCACACTGTGGTGCACTTGGTTTGTGGCCAGACAAATGACGGAGTGGATGGCCAGCACACGCACCCTGCCACCCTTTATTCCTTTGCCAAATTCTAGATATTAATTTCAGGCTGAGGCACGCAGGCTTTGGTAGTGGGGGCCTTCGTTGTACTCTCATTTGAGGCCAATTTGACCTTGGGAGGGTGGGGGGGTGGGTCCTGTTTTCGTTAAAGATTTCTGGAATTTAAACGTCTACTCCACTTGGACGGACCTTGGGTAATGGCCATGGAAAGGGAATCGTGAGGGTGATCGAAAAGCTTTTCTTTTTTTGTACGTTAACACATTTGCAAAACGCCTGTCAGTAAAGTATCAATGTAATGTAAACAACAACACTCAAGTACGCGTGTATCTATTAGAAGGGAACTCGGATGTTGAAACGGTTATCGGTGAAAAGAGCCTTATTCGGAAAAGTCGGGAATAAAAGACTGCGGTGGTTTGGACACGTGACAGTCGGCGGGACAATGTCCCGTGACTTGGAAATGCCGAACAAAAGAAACCATGTGGGTAGATGCAGCGATAAAATATCTAAAGGAAGAAAAAAGGGTAGAGTTTGAATGAAGAAGGTATACTGGCTAAGAGTAAGAAGGCTATGGTGTAAATCCATTCTGCACATTCGTCACTAATGTGTTGAAGGGACAAATGAAACAATTAATGAAAGGTATATTGAAAAGTGACTGCAGAATTGAGAAAAGCTTGTTCCGATGTTCTTGTTTTACCCTGATGTTGGGATCGTGGTTGGCAGTGTGGTTAACACAGCCAGCAGGGGCCACATCTATAAGGTGATTGCATTTCAGTAGAGCCCACAAGCTGATTATTGATGGAAGACAAAGAGAAAATAGCACGTGCAGAAGGTGCCTGTATTAACCCCTTTAACTCTCTAAAAGCCACAATGAAATGAACGCTGCATCCCATTTGCACAGCGGTCATTATATGAATTGAAGCAAGTGACGCAAATCTGCGCACCCTAAACTCTTTGGAATTGTGTAATTTCCACAGCGGTGGACGTTTTGTGTCTTTTGCCTGTCACCAAAATTATCTGGTATCCCATCGGATGTCAGGGTACTATGCAGGGGTTGAGCCTGGATCGTGCTTGGACGAGTGGCCACCTTTTTTTTTTTACAAATAAACAGGTTACCGTAGGGTTGTGGGGCTACGTGGTGGGCAGAAAAGGGGGTGGTCCAGTGAAATCCATTGTTGTCCTGTACTTCCATGCTCCCATGTGTACACTCCCAGCCTACACCAACCTGCCTTGAGCAGCAATGTGAAATATGGTCAGACGACCCCCACGATCAACACGACTTGGGGGGGGCCTCATCCAGCAGTGGATTGAAATGTATATACTCGAGTGAAATAGCCTGAGTATACTTTATGACTGTTAGCATGGACAAACACTGCCTTATGAATACAACAATAAGTATAACCCGTAAAAACAAAGTTTTTCACTCTAAATCCTTTATATACGTGGCGGCTAGAGTCCTCTCGTCCTCTGGCTTGAGATGGCTGCCACCTATGGGTCAGATGATTGTCTGCAGTATTAAACAATTAGTAATTAAATATTTAATTAGTTTTCCCTAAACAGTGTAAAATTTTGGATTTGTTTTCACGAACATTAATTGTCTCGCACAACGAGTCTGTGTGCAAAATGTCAGCTCGATTGGATCACGGGAAGTGGGTTAAAAAACGACCGAAACGTTTGCACGGTCGTAAGCAAGCAAGCAAGCACGCAAGCGAACTTAATATAAAGGATTTAAAAATAATCATTGTGTGAGGCATTATTTCAAATCCATGCAGCTATGCCTTTTGCAACTAATATCTGGAAAACAAAATGCATGGTAGGAAAAAGCAATTCTAATGTTCCAGATGATGTTCACATTTGGGTGGAGCATTCATGTGGTGGGTTTAGCTCTGTACTATGAACTCAGCAACCTGAGTTCGATGTCCGGCCACGGCCAACACAAGTGGTGAGATATATCTGCACCAGTCCTGGTCTCTGCCCTTCACCAATCTGTACTAACCAGGATGCTGAAGTATGTTTAAACAACCCCAATGACTGACACAGCATGGGATTGCCTTCATACAGCAAGTGCACTGAAGACGGGCTCTTATTACTTTCACATTTTAGCTGGATTTTGGAACGAGCCTACTCATTGCAAGCGTGGATACCCCCATCTCTTCCAATATGTCTGGCCATTGTGTTGGCCAAAATATTCACTAGAGCGGGGATCCCTGGAGCTCTCTTTAGAGAAGGTCCTTCCACCAGCAGTAGCATGAGCATCAAATTAGTATTTGCAACCTTTACCACCATCGTTTTAATCTTTCTAAAAACAATGATCTGATAAATGTAAAAACAATGATGTCACGGTGTCTGTAACATCGGCAGCTTTCGTAGGAGCGCACATATGGACATTACCGGTCTGCCACGCAAAAATAAACCATTGACTCTGCTTTAAACTGACCCGGGCACGGGCACGCTGAGTCTGCTCATAACCGCAGCCTTCCCAACTGCTCTCCAAGCTTTCCTCTCCTCCCTAACGCCAAGACAAGGAGCCACAGCTGAGAGCCACCCTGCCGAGCAGAGAGAGAGGCCCTGACAATCATCTGCCAGCACAGTGGCAGCACAATGTGGCATGCCTTAATTAACCTTTCCCACCCGTGGCATTTAATTTTGTCTTTAGCCACTGCACGTCGCTGACCTACTTTCGGCAAAATTTCATGAAAATGTGGGGAGCAGGGTGGGTTGGCAGTGGGAGTTTGTTTGCATTCAACCTTGGCAGTCGTGCGATAGAAAGATAGCCTGCCCTTCCCTGGCACGCGTTGTAATTTGTTAAGGATTGTTATTATTTTCGGACAGTAGGGGAATGTTAGAAAGTGGTTCCCTTTTTCCTCTGTGCATGTCACTGCGGTATAGCTTAGCCCGAGGCATTTGCATAAAAAAATTGCTGTTGAACATAGTGTCCTGCGCATTCTGAAATATAAAAAACAGCATTATTAGTTTACACAGGAAAGCCTCACCGAGACTCAAGACTCGTACTATCAGCAGAGCACTTGTATTTAGATATTTAATCAATTCAATTTTTCTGTATGTTTTTTTTTACATATGGGGTAGATACCGGAATGCCGGTAAAAAAACACCCACTCGTGTGAATTGATGACACTGAAACACTGCATAACAATTGGCCAGTAATCTCAATGCTATATATTTTTTACTTTATGTGCACCACCTCATTTTCCTTATCGCCCACCCACCTCCACATACGTTGCGCCACGAAGCTTCAAAATCCGAGTGTGCGGATGGCAGGCGTGACATCGTTAACGCCAGGGCCCATCATTAACGGTTCGAGTTTACCGATGGTTCCACCGAGGGGGGCATCAGGCTAAGGGTGTCCTCGTGGGTAGATCCAGCACAGACCGGTAGACACCGACGTCCGTTTATTGGCCTTGTGGAGCTCAGGAAACGGTGGCAAGGGTGCGGAGAGGTGACGCTCGGTGCAGGGAATGATGCGTTTCCTGACCCCGCGTGCGCCAGCCTCATAAACGATTCGTCTATGCACCGTCAAATATATATATATTTAGTGAGGTCCGAAACAAAAATGGGTCCACTGATTGTTGGTGTTAAAAATAAACCGAAGTGTATGCAAATTTCAATATCCATGTTTTCCAAAAACGTGCGGCAATGTCGTCCCAATGTACAACACGTTGCCTTTTTTTTTTTAAAAGCACAAACTGCGAGAATTTCCTGAAGAAAAAAACAAGTTTAAACAGGTCTGACCCTGACTGTGTGCGAACAGACGCACCCTTGATACATGAGGAAACCGTCCCTGATTTGACGGCGAATATTAAAGTGCAATGAGGATAACTGAAATGTTCTGCAGCGGGGATTGTTTGAGAACGGGGTCAGAGCCAATTTCCACCCCAATTAATCGTAGACTTTCTCGGTGGGAATATTTCAATCTGTGTAACCTTGCAGAAGTTTTTTTTAGGATTCCAAAATTTTTGCCGGGCACAAAATTAAAAGAAACGTTATTTTAAATGATGTCATGTTCCTAACACTCCCCAGCTGCTTGTTTTCGCATGGGCCCTTCAAGTGATGGGCACAAGAAGCTGTTTAAAATACGACACGGGGAAATGTGCTGATATCAGGCTAAACCTTGCATATTAAATGAACGCTGCCATCTTTTGCATAATAAAGTGACACGATTATTGTCTCAGGCAGGTGCAAGGGGAAAATTTGGCAATTGCATTGTCCACAATTCAAGCGGTATTTCAAGTTGGCTATGAAGTGATTGTAGATTTCTTTTCACGTCGTTCAATGAAATCACGGCTGCCATTTAAATTGGACGTTGTCACCAAACATACGCTCACCCGTCAAGTTTATACATTTCCACTGGGAAAAAAAACATCACGGTTGTCAATCCTTCCATCGGTCTAATTTAGGAACGGCTTTGTTTACACAAAGTGGCCACCATTGTGAACACACAATAACAGCTAAAACAGTCTTATTTATAGGAAGATAGAAATGATAAATCTTACCGGCCAAGGTGTGTTCAGTAACCATGAACTTGCCGTGTGTCCTTTTCTACGTGTGAGCTCCTGTTTGACAGTTTGACTCTCAAACGAGACAAAAAAATGTTAACTTCATTTTCATTTATTTTATGTCATCATAAAAAAAAATTTCGCAAACAACAAAAAAAATCAAATACGCCACGAGTTTTCCTCTTTCACAGTCATTATTTGGCTGCTACTTGATCCCTACCAAGTGGCTTCGCACCTATTTTAATCACGCCCTCTCAAGGTGCAGGCGCACACGCGCGCCGGCCGTTTCGTCCGAAGTCTACCCCGATTCTTCTGCCTTGGCAAACGCCGACGCGTGACTTGCTGACATTAACGTCGCTGTGGCCGAGCTCCACGATTGGTTCCTCACCGCTGTTCCACCTGATTGGCTTCCAAAGCGCCGAGGCCGTTCCATTATTATTATCAGTGCTGAGGGTGCCCCCCGGTGGGAGAAGAAGAGGCGTGCACTGCGGCGTTACGAGCGGCTGGGTCCGCCTGCTAAGGGGCCGTCCATAAATGACGTCACGCGATTGTGAACGATTTTTTACCCCCCCCCCTTTGTCACACGACGTCACAAAAAGTTAGACCCCCCCTCCTCAAATATGACAAAGCTCTGCCCCCCCCCCAAAAAAAATATAAAACATGCTTCAAATCGCTTTAAACTATTGCCATTGTAGTGCGTATTTAATGTGGCGCTGCACTCTGATGTTGTAGGAGAAAACATTTATTAAAAAGTATATTTAATTAAGTAGAACGTGTTGTCTATATTTATTTAAAGTTGCGCATTTTGATGTGACGTCACATTTCTCACCCCCCCCCCCCTCGTCACACATCGTCACAAATGTCTGACCCCCCCCCCCCCCCAGGTGCGTGACGTCATTTATGGACGGCCCCTAACGCCAGACACCGCGAGTGGCCCCGAGGTGGCCAGGTGGCTGTGCAAAGGCCAGAGCCCCGAGCTGACACCTCGACCAGAATCCTAGAATAGCATCCAGGTTTCAGCCGCCTGTGATTCAAACTGGGTTATCAATTATGGTGGGTCGACGGTTTCTGCCGTATCACCAATGGCTGGGCAAAAAAAAATATCACGTTAAATGTAGTCCTCTTCTTGGTTCTTTCGGTAAAGTCACGTAGAAGGGAAGTAATAAAATAATAAAAATAAAACATAATAAAATAATTCTCACGACCTTTCGGCGCACAACAGCAGGCAGCCGTCCTCAGGTGACGGCTGCTTGCGTTGTGGCCGTAACGTCGTGAGAATTATGTTATTATGTTTTATTTTTATTATTTTATTACTTCCCTTCTACGTGACTTTACCGAAAGAACCAAGAAGATGAATCCCTGCAGTCACGAAAGCTTTAAATCGAAATGTAGTCCTGCGCTGGATTTTTGCCAAATGTAAATATCTAGATTGATTTGACTGTTGAGGTGACGAACATTGCTTTCTGACCGAGGGGAAGGGACTGCCAGCTCACCGCGTGTCCCGGTTTAGCCTCCCGGTTAAATGCGGTTACTTTACCCGTTGCCGTCGCTGTTGCCGTCCCGCACCGCAGGCAGGTGGAGGCGCAGCTGGAGATCGTGTGGGAGTCGACGAGCCGCGAGAACGAGCGCATGCGGCGCACGCTCCGCGAGACCCTGACGACGTCGGCCGGCTCGCCGGGCCATCGCGTCGGAGCCGCCGACCCCTCCGGCACGGTCGGCCGTCGGGACGCCGACTTGGCCGGCGCCGGCGATAACCGCTGCCTGACATACTACGATCTCGACACTAGCCGCAGTAACGGCGCCGCCTGCCATACGGGGGGGCCCACTCAGAGCCTGGCAATGGAACTCGCACGGCTGCACTGTTCCGCCAGCGGGATCTTGAGTTCAAGCGCCGGAGAGGGGTCAAGGCTTTCGGCAGCTTGACGGCAATTTGGAAAAGACACGGAGCAACGTCGCCCTCTGCTCGCAGACTAATGCCCACTTCCAGGCTGGTGCTCCCTTCACCTTGTGCTGCTCAGGGATAGGTGCCCACCAGGGGTTATACCGCACCTATCACTGCATGGGATGTGCGGTATAAATATTAAGTGGTGATGATAAAGATTGTCGATGTTTACCTGTAGCCACAGTGACGTCACTGCCATCCTTACATTTGTGTTGTTTTGTGTGTGGATCGTCAGGCCTGGTGGCGCAGTGGTTTTAACACTCGAGTTTGATATAATTGGTACTGCATTGGAGACCAACAGTGGTTTTCCTGTGCAATGAATTGGCCCTTACCGGAGGAATGTGGAATATTCTATACTGGTTCAGGAATATCACAGGAGATAAGCACCTCCTGCCTTCGCTGGCTTTAGCAGAGACAATTTGACTTTGCGTGCACCCAGTGTATGATGGTGCCATACGCACCTCGTATGACTCTAATTTTTACGAAAAAAATTATTTTCTTTTCTTTTACTAGGTTAGGCCCGCCTCGTATGACTCCAATTTTTACGAAAAAATGTATTTTCTTTTCTTTTACTAGGTTAGGCCCGCCGAGTTTCTTCAAAAGGATGTATTCGGGTGTTGCGTGCCGACAATCGTTAGCTCTGCTGCCGCATGGCGTTTTGTCCAAGCAACTTAACCAAATGCTCAGAATGCGCAGGGATTGAGTGCGCGAATCCACCTCAACTTCACCAAACGAGTCCCACCCACTCAACCTTTTTACCTCTTTAACACCTCGTTAAGAAAACTGTCTTCGAAACATCGGTGTAAATTTCAATTTTAAAAGACTACGCCGCCGGTGGTGGTTGTGAGTGGCTGGGAGACAGCTGATGGTGTATGTCAATAGCACAAATACGTGTAGTTAAGTATTATACAGTGTTACTATTGGTCATTTAAGGTTACGGCGATTCGTGCCTTAAAATCGTTTTTTACGCTGACGATACACGCATCGTATTGCGCGTGTAAAAATCGAAGTTTATTTTGTTTGAGGGGCCGTCCATAAATGACGTCACGCACCTAAGGGGGGGTCAGACATGTGTGACGAGGGGGGGGGGGGGGTGTTGAGAAATGTGACGTCACATCAAAATGCGCAACTTTAAATAAATATAGACAACACGTTCTACTTAATTAAATATACTTTTTAATAAATGTTTTCTCCTACAACAGCAGAGTGCAGCGCCACATTAAATACGCACTACAATGCCAATAGTTTAAAGCGATTTGAAGCATTTTGGGGGGGCGGGGGCAGAGCTTTGTGACGTCATATTTGAGGGGGGGGGGGTCTGACTTTTTGTGACGCCGTGTGACGAGGGGGGGGGGGGGTCAAAAATCGTCCAAAATCGCGTCACGTCATTTATGGACGGCCCCTAACCGGGTGAGAGCTGGAGAGACCAGGATTCTCTCTCATTGGCACGAGTGCCCCCTTTCGATGGTTGCACGTTATGTTATGGGTCTCCCTGTGACCCCTGCAACCACTAGAGGCGCTGAATTCCTCCGTTGTATTGTGTGCGCTCTTGAGAGGTTCGTTGCCGAATGGGGGCATTACAAATATACGTTTGATGTTGAATGGAACCCCAGACTCCGAATCGTAATAATTCATGGCATCACGAGCAGGGCAAATCGTTACACGCCTAGTTCCATCACGTGAAGTTTAAAAATATATATACACGTGTAAAAGTAAACGTATCTTCATTGTAACATTTTATCAAAAACGTTTGTGTTCGCCATAAGACGTGTTTTTTTTTGTACTTGTTAAGGCGCATTAAATATGCAGCGACAAAACAAACTACCATTCTATGCTGTTGTATATCTCGTCATGAAAATATTGTCAAATGTGTTATGATCGATCCACTGCTGGAGGAAGGCTTCCACAAGCTGTCACCATCTCTCGCCATCTTGCAATGTCGCAAAGCGACAATAGCTCTTTCATATTTGATTGCACAGGGCAAAGAACTAATTCCGCGGAGGACTGACGGAGCCTGTGACTCCCTTGCGTCATGTCAAGGCACGTGTACATTTGTTACTGGTAGGAACCGCCAGGTTACACTAGCCCACAGGGGATTATTGTGTCCGTCGTGCAGGGAGGGGCTGGGTGAGGAGGGTGGGGCTGGGTGGGGAGGGGCTGGTCACCCCGTGGTGCCCTTATAAAACTGAGCGTTTAACCTACTCACGCCGGCTTGTGCCCGCCCCTCACAGTCGGGCATATTTGCGGAATACACCACGCCGCCGTTGACCCTGGCCATTGACCGAGCAACCCAACGTTCCTACCAGCTCCCTCCGCAGGAATGTGTTTGAGTGCAATGCAAACCAAACCTTTGCCTGCCATGGCGAGATCCGTCTCACCGTCGCGACGTTACGAGAAGGGGGATCGATTTCGGAAACCTAACAATCCGGCAGCGGCGTCTCATCCCAAAACGACCCATTCCCATAGCGCGGAAATTCACATGCAGAGCTCTTTCTTTTAATACGAGCGACCGAACGTGCGTTTGACGTTTCGGCGTCAACTTTACGAAGCGGCTTACGCCGAGATATTATTCTCGCATCGGTTATCTTGTGTTTTTTTTTGCTTTACGCTCGTGTAATAATCTCCGAAATTACGGTGCGATCACACACACAACGGCCTTTGCGGTACTTGTGGCAGCGCAATCATGCTGGGTTGGCAGGTGCTGCATCTCGGCCCCGCGAATGAAATTGGCACGCGCTTGCCGTTCACGTTGTTTGCAGAAATGCGGTAACCCGGTGGCCTTTGGGCGGCCGTTTGTAGCGGCGCGCGCCGCGCATCCCAGCGTCGTTCACGATCGAAAATCGGTGTTCTTCCACTCCCCGCCACGGCCACACGCCTCTTCGCTGTGGGGCTCTCCCACGTGTGTTTGTCGGCGTCGTGCCGCGTGTTGTTCGGCGGCGCGATGTTCGGCTTCGGGGGAACCGAAGAAGCTCCCTGGGTGCGAAACGTCGGACATCGTGCGGCACAACTGGAGGAACACCGTCGGGGGGAGATGCACGGTGCAACTGGGAAAAACCCGCGCGGTGGGTCTGATTGTGTCATTGTGTTCTGTAATGGCACCTAAATTCCCCCTGCAGTTGAAGGGATGACTTTCACACACAAGGCATTTACAAAGTATTTTATGAAAATATTGTGTTCAATCATAATAGTCTATATGCCGTCGTGAAAATGCACAAATACTGCTGTACAGAAGACGCATATATGACTCCTAAAGTACACAATCCAAAACGCGTAAATATTATACAGTATATATAATTTCAGACGATTACTACACTGTTATATATTTTCTCTTTGCTAAAAAACAACTCCCCGTTAAGAACGACCGAAGACTTTTTTTTTAGAGAGCTGAATTTTTATGCGTATAATATTAATTTACAAAAGATCTAACAACGACAACAATAACAGGTCACTTTTGTCTCAGCTCTTAGAACAACAGCGACGGGCGCTATGGGCGGACGGACGGACAGATGCCTGTGTAGCAGAGCTCGTCCGGACGCGCAACGCGGTCATATTTAATAATTCACCTCTTACGAGCGATCTTCATCTGTGTGCCGTGGTGATGTACGGAGATAGTGGGGGGGATGGGTGGTTGAGACACGTTGACAGTTGCGTGAGAATCTTTATCCCAAGACGACCCAAATATTTGCCGTTCGTGCTCCAGCTCCGCCTAAATTCCACCTTTAAGAAGACGCTCGTGTTCTCGTGACAATGACTTCGTGCTGTCACGCGAACAACGACATTGACGGAATGTCCTCCGACGTCACTCGCTTAGCTGGGGGCCCGGCGGTAGGGGCAGGTGTGGGATGGGTGGGTTTGACGGGGGGGGGGAGGGGGTCAGTGTTTGGGTTGGGGCTGGGCTGGGTTGCTTGTCGTGGTTTAGGATGCGGCTGGGGTCACGTAACGAATGTCGAATGTCGCGTGCGAGCTTCGGGTCGTAGCAACAATGGGGAGGGGGGGGGGGATTGTAAAACCGGACTCGTCGCAGCTTTGGCATTTGGCCGAGAGTTTGTGTTTTTGTCTCACTTGTTGTCGTTTGAGCCAGTCCCCAAAATGATGGCGTGAATTAATAAGTGCAGTTTGGCGATGGGGGGGTTGTTATTTTTTTTTATTTGCGCGGGGCGTTTTGTTGTTGCAACATTTCCCAAGTGCGATGGGGGGTGAGGGGTAGGGTCAGAACAAATTCCCTTTCAACTTTTCCCTTTTGTCTCATGGCCCCTCTGACCCCCGTCGCCAGCCCACGCACTGCCTGGGTAAGCATCGCGTTCCTTTGACCAAACCAACCCACAATGAACCAGATTCTCGTTGACATCTCGGTGGATGTCAACGGGAGCAAAGTTCCCGTCGGGCTTAGCGGAACTGATGTGGACAGTAGAAGGCCGTCGCTCCAAAAATCCATTGTAATATTCTTTTATTCTCCCACGTGTCTATGCACCCCCCCTCCCCCACCGCGTTCACCAACCTGCGCGCTAACCATCAACTTGAATTCAGGTCAAATAACCTTCATGAACCACATGGTCACGTCGAGGTCCTCATTCATTGCCGGATTATTCTAGTAGCAAATGTAGCAAATGCTACGGGCCCCGCACTTTCAAGGGCCCCGCGCTAAATGCTGTCAAGCTATCAATTACAGTTCAGTGATTCTGCATTTGCTCTTACTATAGTACTATACCGCCTTCAACTTTTACAAACGACTGGGTGTTTAAGGTTAGCGATTTGTTCGTATCTGGCTGTATAGCAAATGAACAAATACAATTACTTTACTGTACAAGTAAAAAATTTATGTGTTTTAATATGTACGTGTTTTTTTATATTTAGGGCACCTTTAATAACATACGCTACAGGCCCCGCACTAGCTTAATCCGGCACTGGCCTCGTCCAGCATTGGATTCACAAAATAGCCGTAGATAGATTGAGATGTATACACGAACAAGCGTCGTCGAACTTGCTCAAGGGCTCTCGACTGGCCGTAGAAGTGTTGCCGCACCCATCGGTGTCGATAAGGGGCTGGGCTCACTTGCAGTGTTTTTTAAACCCTTTATATTAAGTTCGCTTGCTTGCTTAGGACCGTGCAAATCTTTCGGTCGTTTTTCAACCCACTTCCCGTGATCCAATCGAGCTGACATTTTCCACACAGACTCGTTGTGCGTGACAATTAATGTTCGTGAAATTTTTTTCCCAAAATGTTACACTTTTTAGGACAAAAATATGATATTTAATTACCGATTGCTTAATGGTGCAATGCAATCATCTGACCCATAGGTGGCAGCCATCTCAAGCCAGAGGACGAGAGGACTCTAGCCGCCACGCCTATAAAGGATTTATAGTGAAAAACTTTGTTTTTACGGGTTAATTTTTTTTTTGTCACGACATCTCTCTGTCACGATGCCGACAATTCTTTCGCCCGGCTGGGTGGCGCTGTAACACAGCGGGAAAGTTGAAAGTTCCAATCCTGCTCGGGGCTCAACCTGCCGCATCACTTTCGCCGAGAACGATCAAATCGATACCACGTTATGAGAATTCACAAGTAGATGTCCTGCAGACGCGCCGTGCACCGTCATGTGAATGTGGAATTTCGACCGGGGACTGCCAATAGAAGTAGTCACCAAGCAACAGAGGTGGGACAAAGTCATTGTTATGCAAGTCCAAGTCGAGTCTGAAGTCATCAAATTCATGACTCGAGTCTGACTCGAGTCCAAGTCACATGACTCGAGTCCACACCTCAGAGGTGGGACAAAGTCATTGTTATGCAAGTCGAGTCTGAAGTCATCAAATTCATGACTCGAGTCTGACTCGAGTCCAAGTCACATGACTCGAGTCCACACCTCAGAGGTGGGACAAAGTCATTGTTATGCAAGTCGAGTCTGAAGTCATCAAATTCATGACTCGAGTCTGACTCGAGTCCAAGTCACATGACTCGAGTCCACACCTCAGAGGTGGGACAAAGTCATTGTTATGCAAGTCGAGTCTGAAGTCATCAAATTCATGACTCGAGTCTGACTCGAGTCCAAGTCACATGACTCGAGTCCACACCTCTGCCAAGCAATGCTCATTAGTGCGCGGTGACAATGACTAATGTAACACTTTTATGGTCCGCCAATATGACTGCAAGGGTCCATACTCTTTGGTTTTTTCGGTAAAGTCACGTAGGTAAAAGAAAAGAAATACATTTAATCACGACGTTTCGGAGGCAACACAAGCCTCCGTCTTCAGGTGGAACCGTCACAGCAAAATTACTGTACAGTAATCACGACGTGATTTAATTTATTTATTTTCTTTTTTAAATCCTTTATATTAAGTTCGCTTGCTTGCTTGCGTGCTTGCTTGCTTGCTTACGACCATGCAAATCTTTCGGTCGTTTTTTAACCCACTTCCCGTGATCCAATCGAGCTGACATTTTGCACACAGACTCGTTGTGCGAGACAATTAATGTTCGTGAAAATGTTTTTCCAAAATTTTACACTGTTTAGGGAAAACAAATTAAATATTTAATTACCAATTGCTTAATACTGGCAGACAATCATCTGACCCATAGGTGGCAGCCATCTCAAGCCAGAGGACGAGAGGACTCTAGCCGCCACGCATATAAAGGATTTAGAGTGAAAACTTTGTTTTTACGGGTTATACTTATTACCTACGTGACTTTACCGATGACAACACTGGTTAGTGGTTTCTTTCCCAACGCACATTGTTGTATAATGTCGACACGTACATACACGGCAGTATACACACCTTAAGAGAGTGTACACAGCACCGTGCACACTTTCCTTACCAAGGTAACGAATACCAAACAGTGTCCACTCTTTTGATGGAACCTCATGTGCACCCTCGATTGCAATGTAATAATAATTGCACGTTGACCCTCATTTCTTGTTGGCATGGTTACTGGTGATACAATTAAGTGATGAGATTGTTTCGAACTTTTCCTTACAATTGTGTGGGGGGGGGGGGACGGGGAGGCAAATAAGTTCGACATCTTGAGACGTTTCTTTGCAGCTTAAGATCAACAGAAATCCACCCAGGCGCGATTTGGTCCACGTAACCCACACGTGATGATTGACTCGTCTCTGCCCAACTGAGTTGGCGTCACATCAGTGGTTCTAATTCCCACTCCGTGGCCAGTGACGGTGAATGATGTGAACCCCATTTGAAACGAGTGTTGTTCATATTCTTGGTTCTTTCGGTAAAGTTACATAAAAGGAAAATAAAAATATTAAACAATAAAATTCTCACGACGTTTCGACCGCAACACAAGCAATCATGATCAGGTGTGAAATCCACAGCAAGAAATTTTCATCATCAAATTTTTCATCATCAAGAAAATGTATTGCTGTGGATTTCACACCTGATGATTGCTTGTGTTGCGGTCGAAAGGTCGTGAGAATTTGATTGTTTAATATTTTTATTATTTTATTTCCCTTCTACGTGACTTTACCGAAAGAACCAAGAATATGAATCCCTGCAGTCACGAAAGCTATAAATCAAAATGAGTGGTGTTAAATAATCCACTCTCACTCACGGGTACCGGATCTCGCCCACACTCCTGTTAAGTGTCTGCGTGCAAAGTGAGTGTAGCGGTTAGCGCGCTATGCTATGCTGTGAACCCGGCGACCCAAGTTCCATTCCCGCTCACGGCCAACACCGGTGACGATTATCTGAACCGGTCATGGGCCTCCCCTAGGTCGACTCAGCCTCAAGCGAGTACCTGGTGCGGTGTGTAAACATCGCCACGAGGGAGACAAAAGCGGCCAGGCTGTGGTGCTGGCCACCCACCACCTCGTGTGCCGTGCCAGCCTTCATAGGCGCAACATCGCTCACAGCACTTGCCCCAAAAGTATGTTAAGACTTTTAGATTTAAAGCTTTCGTGACTGCAGGGATTCATCTTCTTGTCGGAAAGACAGACCTGTTCTTCACCTGAGGACGGCTGCTTGCGTTGTGGCCGAAACGTCGTGAGAATGATTTTATTATGTTTTATTTTTATTCTTTTATTCTTTCCCTTCTATGTTAAGACTATCGAGGGGATCTCTGTCTTTGTGTGCTCCAAATGTGAAAGGAAAATGAAACAAAACCAAAAACAAATCCAGTACGTCGCATATCCAACTCGCTGGGGATCCTGGTATAGGCACGATACTTGAAAATGTCAGATATGTGAACACCTATCCTGGGACTCGTCTACTTACGAACATTTGACTTGCGAACTTTCAGAGATACGAACAAACCTGTCCCTATGTCCAGTTGCCCGTTCAGACTGAGAGGCGTAAGTTCAACTGCCCCGTGTAATAGATGGACGGTGGTGGTATCTACGTCTGCAGAACGTGAAGAGCCAGTGGCATCTACATCTACAGGAGATTATACAACTTGTAAAGACATTCCCTGTCTTTCGTGTACACGCCGTACAACATAATCGTTTTTTTCCCCTTTTTCTGGCAACAAAACAAACCTTTTTTACAAGGAATCATGTTTACATTAACCACAATACCTGTGGTCAGAATGCAAACAAAAAACACACTGATTATAAATGCATTGTCCTTGAAACTAATTGGTCCACACCAGAGACAGCTTTCCTTAGAGCCTAGTCTCGCATGGTGTTGGACCAGATGACGCCAAAAGGCGCACAACTCAAAGGTGTCCGTTTTGTTGCCAGATAAAAGAGTAAAAAAACAATTATCACATTTTGCTACTGGAAAAGGAGACCGTACAACATGTTTGGAATTGGCAGGACTAAAGTTGGACTTACGAACAAATCGACTTACGAACAGACCTCTGGAACCTAACTCGTTCGTAAGTAGACGAGTCCCTGTAGACACTTACAGTTACACCACGCGCAAATACCGCACTCTGTGCGGTATGTCGATTGGTCAGGGTGGGTGTGCGACGTTCTCTAATTTCTTGTAGCTATGTATCCAGGCTGCGTCCGTGAAGCTTCGGTAATGATCTTACGAAGACTTTTACAGCTGCGGTCAAGAGCACCACCATGAGCTCTCTGAGGATGTCACTGCATTGAAATGCACAGCGGCGATGTCACTGGAGTGCTATCACGGTGCTGCATCTGCCTTTAAATTACAAAGTCGCACTTTCTCTTAATGGCTCTTCAAATCAAACCGGCCTGTACGGAGCATAGGGACATGTCTCCTGGAAAAGAGCTCTTTGTGTTTTTGGGCTCCTTTGAGATATCAGAGCGCTACAATAAAAAAAAAACAAAGTTGGTAACGGCTACCAAAGGTGTAGCTTCTTCCTCCTCCCCCCCTCCTCCTGCCTCCCTCCGACTCCTCCGAAAATTATAATTGTTTTTTTACCCTTTTATCTGGCAACAAACCTGACACCTTTTTTTACAAGGAGTCATGTTTGCATAGACCACAATACCTGCGGTCGGAATGCAAACAAAAAACACAACTCTGATAATGTATGCACTGTCCTTGAAATTGATTGGTCCACACCCGAGACAGCTTTCCTTAGAGCCTAGTCTCGCATGGTGTTGGACCAGATGACGCCAAAAGGCACACAACTCAAAGGTGTCAATTTTGTTGCCAGATAAAAGGGTTAAAAAACAATTATCATATTTTGTTACTGGCAAAGGAGGTTCCAATGGTGTAAATCCTCCAAAAATATCACGCAGCCTCTTGGCACAGAGATATTTGCAGAGAGACAAAAAAAATCTAATTAATTTTATAAATACTCTTGCGTCAATTACTCGGGGGACTTAAACTGAACCGAGAACCGCCGTGGGAGTGCGACACCCTCAATAGTTTGGCACTCCTTGGGCGGTGTGCGCATGGCGATCCGGCTGGGTTTGATTTGTTTTTTTGGTCCGCCAAGACCAGGGGGTGGAGAACCCCTTCCCTTACTGGGGGGCCGACAAATACGGCTTTCGAAAATGACGCTTCGCCGGGCCACACACACGAGCGACGCACAGCTCAGGCTCTCGGTGTCAATGCCGGGGTCGCATTTTTCGAAGGGGGCAAGCGGCCGCGCAAAGATGTTGGTCGCAGTTGTGGATAAATATTTTAAAAAAATTTGCAGGCGGTTTTACGAATTGGTCGGCTTCGTTTGACTGTGGGCCGTATGAAATGACGTGAGCAGGTCACGTTTGATCCACAGGCCTTTTTAAGCGTCTCCACCCCTTGGCCTACGTGCATGAAGTGGATCGGGATTATTGTATCCGATGCCCACAATACCATATTTGCAGCAGAATTCAATCTGTAAAATTGAGTATCTTGTTGTTTTTTTTCCCATCGCGCGTGCGTCAAGAATCCATGGCGGCATAAGTCTGTTCCACTACAGGTGAAACAATGAACCGGCAATTAAAATCGATTCGAAGGCTCGTGTGGGTTGGTGAATGATGTATGTTCATGGCTTTTGTACTATTGCAGATTCTATAGATTCATAACCACTGCATGATCAACGTTTTTGGGTTAGATCGCGTTATTTATAAATGTGTCGTAACCCTCCACCACCCGACACGGTCAATCAGCAAAAAAAGTGTCACCTTGACAAAAGACAAATAGTTCACTGCTTTAGCAGTGACCGGGAGCAAGAGCAGAGCCTCACCATTCTGGCGAATTGCCCGATGATGCTGGATGCAATTACCAGCGAAACGTCGTGCTACTCAAAAATTTATAAATGTTGTGGTTTCACGCTTCAACACACCGGTGGGCTAAAGCAGTGAACTATTTTGTCTTTTGTCAACGTGACACTTTTTTTGCTGATTGGCCGTGTCGGGTGGTGGAGGGTTACGACACATTTATAAATAACGCGATCTAACCCAACAACTTTATTATGAATAATATTGGTCCCGAAAAGCCTACGTGTTAAACCACTACATGCACCGTAACAGTTTCATAAGGTAAGAAAAAATACTTGATTCACCGAGCTCTCGCTTGGCGATTGTGGCGTACGTAGAATCTAAAGTGGCTATGAATCTATGAGATCTATCGTGTTGTCAATGCCAGAAACACATGATTTTAACGTACACAGTTCGATGCATGTATCGCGAGTGTTTGAACCAGTTTCATTGGACGGTTCTTATCATCGTCGGTAATTGAACCCAGGTCTACATTACAAGAGACTGTTTGTCTTGGCGAATCTGCAGCAGGTTCTGTGGCCCGATCGTCGTGATAAAAATAACACCAGCATGTTTTTTTTTTGCTACAGTACCGTCAATCTCCATCAACCAATGCTGCCACCACCACCACCACCAACAACCCCCCAGCCCCCTGTGTCATACACCCGGCCAGATTTACCTCGGTCGCGAGCCTCTGTGCTCAGTCATTGTTGTTCATTTCAATGGAAAAGTGCCTCAGCAGGTATGAATGCAGGTGCAAGGATATATTTCTCATTTTAATCGTATCGCCATTCATCAAAACAACCGTAAATACACAATGATGGATTGAAACGTTGCAAGTTCTCCACTGGGCCTCCATTGGCCTGTTGGCTGTGCGAATGTCCTCTCAGCCTCGCTCCTAAAGCTGTCGCTCTAATAGCAGCGGCAACCTCCCACCTCCCGACGTGCTGCCACCTTCACCACGAGCTCGCCACTCAGCGGTTTGACAGCAGCCACTTCTTGCGCTTCCAGAGGGCAAGAGTGCAGTAGCCACTTTGTGGGTTAGGGGTCACTTGGAAGTCAGACTCTGCGCTCTGGTTAAGCTGCTACTGCTGCTACCACTGCCCTCCAGTTGGTGCTGCTGCTGGCGCTACTGCCCATCTGATGATGATGATGCTGCTGCTACTGTGGCTTCTACAGATGCTACTCCAGCTGCTGCTGCTGCTGCTGCAGCTTCCGCCGCTAATGCTGCTGCTCCTCCCACTTCTCTGTCCACTGCTGCTGGTGCTGCCACTCCTGCTGCTGCCTGCTGCTTCAGTTTTGAGCTTCAAGCTGCTTCCACCGCCGCCGCCTCCCTAGCTGCTACTGCTGCCCGTGCCTCCTTCACCTCCTCCGCGTGCGCCGCTCACTGCTCGAGGTAGCGCAGGTTGAGCTGGCGGATCTCACGCTCGCGAGCTCGGCGTGCACGGGCCGACTTGGCGGAGCGCGTCGAGTGAACCGACTTGTTGCTCTGGCGCGAGGACGCGCGCTTGATGAGGTTCTGCGAGATGGAGCGGTGCAGGTCCTTGGCCGACGAGTCGGCCGCCATCGTCACCACCCACGGGTGTCGCAGCGCCTGCGCCGCGCTCAGCCGCTTCGTCGGCTCCACGCTCAGCAGCTGGTCGATGAAGTCCTTGGCCAGGTTCGACACGCTCGGCCACGGCTGCTTGCAGAGACGACGGGCGGAGGAGGGGGTGGGGAATAGAAATCAGCGGCGCAAGGGCGAGGGACGCAGCGATACCCCCGACGGGCGCGCGCTTGCCCTCGGAAATGCTCGGTTCGTCGCGACGACGGCGGCTGCGACGCTTGCAACCGGGTGCTCTGGGAGCAGTGTCAGCCGAGGGCTGCGATGTAGCAAAGGGGACTCCGATAGGCGGCTGGGGATGATGGATGCGGGTGGTCATTTAATCAATGTGGCCGGTTTTCTGTAGGGTTAGCCCCCCTAATCACTACGCATTTTTATACACGGGTTTTCTGATATTGGTTCATCTCTACGACAGTTATGCCCCCCCTCCCCCCCCAATACCAATACCCACCATTCGCCGCTAAGTTACGGTGACATCACCACGGCGCCTGTGCCAGGCCAGGTGCACTTCCACCCCCATCCCCTCCCCTATCATAGACAGACAGATGGATCTAATGCACACCTGCTTTAAACCTCAGTGGGAGGAAAAAGATTCATCAAAGGATTGACGGCGGTCTGTAATGTATTATTATTCTTGTATACATACGCGTTTGTTTCCAAAATATAGCACACTCAAAACTAGATTCGGCGCTCTTAAGCGACGCCTGCAAGCTTCGGTGCAACTTGGATTTTTTTATTTTTACATTCGAAGCCGAACCGTGCAAAAGTTTCTAGAGGTTGGAAAGCCATTTTCGTGTCCGCAAGTTCAAAAAACGAAAAAATTATTTTTGCTTTCGAATTAAATCGTCGCTGCCGCCTGTGAAGGTAGTGAGCACCAGCGGCTCCAAGCAACGGCATTTTTGTGTAAATAGAAAAAGCCGACGTATGGCCAAAGTCGATCTAACGCAAAAAAAAAACCTGCATTATGGAGGCATCCCTCGATTTCACGAACGCAATCGACAGATCCACGGGGGCGTTTTTCGATGAACGAAATCGAATTTCTAGATTTGAAGCTTTCGTGACTGCAAGGATTCATATTCTTAGGTTTTTTTCGGTAAAGTCACGTAGGTAAAAAATTAAAATTTGAATTAATAAAAGTAAAATAAAATAAAAATCACGACGTTTGCCTCCGAAACGTCGTGATTTTTATTTTATTTTTATTTTACTTTTATTAATTTTTCTGTTTTACCTACGTGACTTTACCGAAAAAACCTAAGAATAGAAATCGAATTTCCCACGTGCACGAAATTCCGACCACGGCCACACGCCGCGAGATCGTCGGACGAGAAGAAGCCACGCGGCAGGGTCCGTGGCATCTGTCCGCGACGGTGTCACGGGATCCCCTTCAAGTGCAACAGCAACGCCTCCACATCACCTTACCGCTCACTCCAGCCTGCAGATCTTTTTGGTGAATTCCCCGAAAAGGCGAATTTTTTTTTCCTGGTTTAAATTAAAATTATCATTCAATCGTTTTCATATTTGCGTTCATTCGAATTTTTATATCGTGAACTTTTTTTCTGTTAAGATTAATGAGATTTTACGAAATGTCGTTTCCGCCCGTCTGTTTTTGATACAACGCATCCCTTTCGTCAAATCGAGGGATACCTGTACAGCGAGACGCAGTGTGCAGAGCAGCGGTTCTGAGCATTTACTGCAGCCGTGCAGCTCTTTGATTCTCAGTCGTTATGAAAAAAATTGTACAACGAGAATAAATACAAAGGGGTTTGATGAAACAAAGTAAGTTGTTACTCACGCGCCCGTGCTCAATTTGTGTTTCCGATGATTTACCTCCTAAAAAAATCTGTCAAATGGCTCGCACCACCCAGAAAAGGCATCTCACATCCACTGGGGGTACAGCGTGCACCCCAGGTCAAGAAGACGCACTGGTGTAGAGCACCAGGGATAAGTTAGATGTGGGCCTGGGACTGTCATGGTTTTAAGGACCCTCTCTTTACGCATTCATTTCTTTCCCTTCACTGTTTCACCACCAACACCACCAACAACACCACCTACACTGCCACCACCAACATCACCACCCACACTACCACCACCAACACCACCAACACCACCACCCACACCACCACCAACACCACAAACACCAACACTACCAACACCACCACCAACACCACCCACACCGCCAACACCACCACCAAAACCACCACCAAAACCACCACCACCACCAACACCACAAACACCACCAACAACACCACCACCAACACCACCAACACCACCCACACCACCACCAACACCACCCCCAACACCACCAACAACACCACCACCAACACCACCACCACCAACAACACCACCACCCAATTCCTCCGTGCCAAAAGCTCCATTGCCATTCCCACCCCTTGCTTGTTTCGGTTCTCGTTTTAAAGTGTGACACAAGCGTTGTGAAGATTCATGAAAGTCAATTCAATTGCACGTGAATGGCAGTGTAACGCGCAGGGCGATGCTACAGCTTTAATTATAATGATTACATTGCCCGGAGCATGCATCACGGTGCAAACGAGTTATTGCGTTGTAACCGTTACGGGGGACGAGTTCCATAATTTGTGTGTTTTTATGACGATTTAGGATATTTGTTTATCGGATCTTTTAAGGGACGTAGTTTAGCGTGTCTTCGTGCTCGCCAAAGTGGCATCATCGCGCCCGAGGATGCCGAGTGACGCGACTTTTGACAGGAAATGGGCGCAACTGACAATATAATGACGTAATTTCGCCTGCCCGTCTGTCTTACTTCGGATCAATCTGAAATAATGAAACAACATTCATTCAAAAATGTAGTTCTTCCCTTTAAACCCAATCTCTTCTCCATAGGCCATGCTGCTGCTACTCCCTGCTTCTGCCCCCAGCTACAACCACCCCAACCCCTACCACTACCCCAACCCCTATCACTACCCCAACCCCTATCACCACCCCAACCCTTACCACTACCCCAACCCCTATCACCACCCCAACCCCTACCACTACCCCAACCGCTACCCCAACCCCTATCACCACCCCAACCCCTATCACTACCACAACCCCTACCACCACCCCAACCCCTATCACCACCCCAACCCTTACCGCTACCCCAACCCCTATCACCACCCCAACCCCTACCACCACCCCAACCCCTATCACTACCCCAACCCCTATCACCACCCCAACCCCTACCATTACCCCAACCCCCATCACCACCCCAACCCCTATCACCACCCCAACCCATATCACTACCACAACCCCTACCATTACCCCTACCACTACCCCAACAACTACCCCAACCCCGATCACCACCCCAACCCCTATCACAACCCCTACCACTACCCCAACCCCTATCACGACCCCAACCCCTATCACCACCTCAACCCCCTACCACTACCGCTATCACCACCTCAACCCCTATCACTACCCCAACCCCTATCACCACCCCAACCCCCACCCCTACCCCTACCACTACCCAAACCCCTCCTAAACCACTCCCGACTGTTTGCCTGTCACCATAACTACACCACTACAACTTTTAATAACGACAACCCCACTCTTTATTATCTCAAACACTTTCATCTTATGTACAATGTTATAATCTCTGTAAAGAGACTTAGAATATACTGTGTAAAAAAGATAAGATATATCATCTAGGAGTAAGTTTTGGATTTTTCATTTAAATGCCAAAAATCTGAAACATTCCGAAACTAAGCAGGATATATATTTGGGGGTTGGGGGGCCGAGATGTTAACTACCTCGCCTGGTATGCAGGAGGTCGCGGTTTCGACCCTGATTTATTTTTTCCGGGTCCTTCGGGTTTTCCCTCCGTGTTGAAAATCAGCAAGAAGCGTTTCGGAGTATTTGGACGATGTGAATTTCCACGCGATGATAACGCCGCTTCGTTGAGCTATCATTTGCGATAGCCATGCTGCCTCTGAAAAATATCTAGATAGCTCAGTGGGGCCTTGCCTGGTAAAATAACAAATAGCTTCGTAGTTTAGTTTTAGTAAAATCCAAATGCCCCCTGGCTGCAAGCCCCCCTGTGTTCACCCAGCTTGCCGTGGTTTTGCTTTCATCATTCTCAGGACTTCGAGGAAACGTTTATAGCAACGGGTCAACAGCAGCGCGTTCAGATCGTGTCACTTGCGCACAGCACAGAAGGGACAACGGCGGCTTACGTCTCGGACGGTTGCCTTTTTGAACGTAAACAAGTGGGCCAAGCATTACCGGGCTGAGCTTGCTTGCTTGCTTTCTTGCTGGCGTCGTTGTTTTAACAACCTGGTTTCCTCAAACGATGGGAGCTTGTATAGCCATCTGGTTCGGCGTCGGCCGGTCAAGATCTTAAAAAGATCTTAAAAAGACCTCGGCGGCGTTGCATTTTTCACCTCCCCCCCCCGCCTTCCGCCTTTCTTGTCCGCTTTTGAAAATCTAAAAACTGATTTTTGTTGCGGCCATTCTGTAGGACGCAAGTGCGCTGCTCTTTTGTGGCTCCGCTGCTAGACGAGGGCATTGCCATGCCCTGCGCATTGTGGAGTGAGGGGGGGGGGGGGTCACGTGGGTCACTGATCGAACTTCACCACACTGGCCGGAGCGGGTTGGTGAAGGCGAAGGTCATTTCCATGGGGTTATAATACAGTACAACATTTTATGGGCAACATATTTTATATATATTATGGACAACATTTTATATTGCCAACCACGCAGCCCTGTCACAGCCTACTCAACACCTGTTTAATAACATGGTCGTCGCCCATCCAAGCAAACATCCAGGATAAAAGCCTGCTTAGCTACGGAGATCTGACGAGGTTTGATCGACGGCTTTCTGCATCATAATTCCCTCTGCTTGTTTCCTGCCCTGCTTGTCGGTCCACTCCTGGGTGGATACTTCCCAATGGATTGTCACACATGGGGGGAGGGGGGAGGGTCCGTTGACCATACTTCACTAGGCTGGAACATATCGCATCAACCTAACCACTAAGATCTATTGTGGGTGGCCCTGCTTACGGTTGTGGGGCGCCACGGTGGCGATGAGATGTTAGCTACCTCGCCTGGTGTACAGGAGGTCGTGG